ATATTAGTCTTCTATCCAATGGTATATTCAAATCTTTGCCCCCGAGACCGGAAAGATTCGAAATAATTCGATATTTTGTGAAAAAGTTCAATTTTTCGTAATTGAACATTTTCGAACCTCAAAAAGTTCGAAAACTCGTCGGATGTCACCACAATTTTTTTGTTGAATAATTTTTTATGTTAGTCCTCTATCCAATGGTAAATTTAAATCTTTGCCCCAAATTCCGGAAAGATTCGAAATAATTCGATTTTTTATGAAAAAGTTCAATTTTTTGTATTTGAACAGTTTCGAACCTCAAAAAGTTCGAAAACTCGTCGGATGTCACCACAATTTTTTTGTTGGAATATGTTCTATGTTAGTCTTCTATCCAATGGTATATTCAAATCTTTGCCCCCGAGACCGGAAAGATTCGAAATAATTCGATATTTTGTGAAAAAGTTAAATTTTTTATACTTGAACATTTTCGAACCTCAAAAAGTTCGAAAACTCGTCGGATGTCACCACAATTTTTTTGTTGGAATATGTTCCTATGTTAGTCTTCTATCCAATGGTAAATTCAAATCTTTGCCCCCGAGACCGGAAAGATTCGAAATAATTCGATTTTTTATGAAAAAGTTCAATTTTTTCATACTTGAACATTTTCGAACCTCAAAAAGTTCGAAAACTCGTCGGATGTCACCACAATTTTTTTGTTGGAATATGTTTTATGTTAGTCCTCTATCCAATGGTATATTCAAATCTTTGCCCCCGAGACCGGAAAAATTCGAAATAATTCGATTTTTTATGAAAAAGTTCAATTTTCGTGTATTTGAACAGTTTCGAACCTCAAAAAGTTCGAAAACTCTTCGTAGTCACCACAATTTTTTTGTTGAAATATGTTTTTATGTTAGTTCTCTATCCAATGGTATATTCAAATCTTTGCCCCCGAGACCGGAAAGATTCGAAATAATTCGATATTTTGTGAAAAAGTTCAATTTTTTCATACTTGAACATTTTCGAACCTCAAAAAGTTCGAAAACTCGTCGGATGTCACCACAATTTTTTTGTTGGAATAAATTTTTATGTTAGTCCTCTATCCAATGGTAAATTCAAATCTTTGCCCCAAAGACCGGAAAGATTCGAAATAATTCGATTTTTTATGGAAAAGTTCAATTTTGTGTATTTGAACAGTTTTGAACCTCAAAAAGTTCGAAAACTCGTGGGATGTCACCACAATTTTTTTGTTGGAATATGTTTTTATGTTAGTCCTCTATCCAATGGTATATTCAAATCTTTGCCCCCGAGACCGGAAAGATTCGAAATAATTCGATATTTTGTGAAAAAGTAAATTTTTTATACTTGAACATTTTCGAACCTCAAAAAGTTCGAAAACTCATCGGATGTCACCACAATTTTTTTGTTGGAATATGTATTTATGTTAGTCTTCTATCCAATGGTAAATTCAAATCTTTGCCCCAAAGACCGGAAAGATTCGAAATAATTCGATTTTTTATGAAAAAGTTCAATTTTTGTGTATTTGAACAGTTTCGAACCTCAAAAAGTTCGAAAACTCCTGGGGTGTCACCACAATTTTTTTGTTGGAATATATATTTATGTTAGTCCTCTATCCAATGGTAAATTCAAATCTTTGCCCCCGAGACCGGAAAGATTTGAAATAATTCGATTTTTTATGAAAAAGTTCAATTTTCGTGTATTTGAACAGTTTCGAACCTCAAAAAGTTCGAAAACTCTTCGGATGTCACCACAATTTTTTTGTTGGAATATATATTTATGTTAGTCCTCTATCCAATGGTAAATTCAAATCTTTGCCCCCAAGACCGGAAAGATTCGAAATAATTTGATATTTTGTGAAAAAGTTCAATTTTTTCATACTTGAACATTTTCGAACTCAAAAAGTTCGAAAACTCGTCGGATGTCACCACAATTTTTTTGTTGGAATATATATTTATGTTAGTCCTCTATCCAATGGTAAATTCAAATCTTTGCCCCCAAGACCGGAAAGATTCGAAATAATTCGATATTTTGTGAAAAAGTTAAATTTTTTCATACTTGAACAATTTCGAACACAATTTTTTTGTTGGAATATATATTTATGTTAGTCCTCTATCCAATGGTAAATTCAAATCTTTGCCCCCAAGACCGGAAAGATTCGAAATAATTCGATATTTTGTGATAAAGTAAAATTTTTTTATACTGCAGAATTTTCGAACCTCAAAAAGTTCGAAAACTCTTTTGATGTCGCCACAATTTTTTTGTTGAATATATATTTATGTTAGTCCTCTATCCAATGGTAAATTCAAATCTTTGCCCCCAAGACCGGAAAGATTCGAAATATATCGATTTTTTATGAAAAAGTTCAATTTTTGTGTATTTGAACAGTTTCGAACCTCAAAAAGTTCGAAAACTCTTTGGATGTCACCACAATTTTTTTGTTGAAATATGTTTTTATGTTAGTCCTCTATCCAATGGTATATTCAAATCTTTGCCCCCGAGACCAGAAAGATTCGAAATAATTCGATATTTTGTAAAAAAGTAAAATTTATTTATACTTGAACATTTTCGAACCTCAAAAAGTTCGAAAACTCGTCGGATGTCACCACAATTTTTTAGTTGGAATATATTTTTATGTTAGTCTTCTATCCAATGGTAAATTCAAATATTTGCCCCCAAGACCGGAAAGATTCGAAATAATTCGATATTTTGTGAAAAAGTAAAATTTTTTTATACTTGAACATTTTCGAACCTCAAAAAGTTCGAAAACTCATCGGATGTCACCACAATTTTTTGTTGGAATATATTTTTATGTTAGTCCTCTATCCAATGGTAAATTCAAATCTTTGCCCCCAAGACCGAAAAGATTCGAAATAATTCGATTTTTTATGAAAAAGTTCAATTTTTGTGTATTTGAACAGTTTCGAACCTCAAAAAGTTCGAAAACTCGTCGGATGTCACCACAATTTTTTTGTTGGAATATGTTCCTATATTAGTCTTCTATCCAATGGTATATTCAAATCTTTGCCCCCGAGACCGGAAAGATTCGAAATAATTCGATATTTTGTGAAAAAGTTAAATTTTTTCATACTTGAACATTTTCGAACCTCAAAAAGTTCGAAAACTCGTGGGATGTCACCACAATTTTTTTGTTGGAATATGTTCCTATATTAGTCTTCTATCTAATGGTATATTCAAATCTTTACCCCCGAGAACGGAAAGATTTGAAATAATTCGATTTTTTAGAAAAAATTGAATTTTCGTCTACTTGAACATTTTCGAACCTCTAAAAGTGCGAAAACTCGTCGGATGTCACCACAATTTTTTTGTTGGAATATGTTCTAATGTTAATCCTCTACCCAATGGTATATTCAAATCTTTGCCCTCGAGACCGGAAAGATTCAAAATAATTTGATTTTTTATGAAAAAATTCAATTTTCGCATACTTGAAAGATTTTCGAACCTCAAAAAGTTCGAAAATCACCCCAATTTTTTTGTCGGAATATGTTCTTATGTTAATCCTCTACCCAATGGTATATTCAAATCTTTTCCTCCGAGACCGGAAAGATTCGAAATAATTCTATTTTTAATGAAAAAATTCAATTTTCACATAATTGAAATTTTTTTTCAAATATTGAATATTTCCATATCATGTCATTATAATGGGTTGCAGTAATATTCCCAAATCAACATCTGAATATAAATCCTCCGATAGCGTGATGTCCCAAAGTATTAGTTTTCGTAGAAAGTCACAAAGTACATTTTGTTAGACCAGGAAAATTGAAATTTTTTTTCAAATATCGAATATTTCCATATCATGTCATTATAATAAGTTGCAGTAATATTCCCAAATCAACATCTGAATATAAATCCTCCGATAGCGTGATGTCCCAAAGTATTAGTTTTCGTAGAAAGTACATTTTGTTAGACCAGGAAACACTTTAATATGAAATTCGGGAATATAAGTTTGATATTTGGCTGGCATGACAGTGGTGTTTGCATGCATAAATATAATATGGAGTCTTCAGGCGTAGAAGATAAGCAAGTTCTTTGTTACTCCTGAAACAAAATCCCACACACAGTGTCAAACCTGTTAACCCTGGCGTAGCAAGACTCTCGTGGGCCCCCCCGCAAAAATATTTCGTCGAAATGTCCCTAAAAACTCTCGGACAGAAGCTAAAACAACGCTTTTTTTATTTCGTCAAAAAGCATAACATGTCGCTCTTAAACGGCAATGGTAACCTAAAATTTGCCGTATATCTTGGGTACTTTTTTTTTTTTTTTCATACGTGCTTCCTCGTCTGCCCTTTTTCTGCGTTTCTGTGCGCTACTGAGAGGTTTTGCTTTCGACATCATTCAGACAGCCGTCGTAATTTTGCCGGTGCAATCAAATTACAAGACGCCGAAAATCGACGACTCCCTGGCATTGTTACGTAACAAAACGATTTGAGCCGTACTAACATCAACGTTATAAGATGTGAATTTCTGGTTTTGCAATGCAGCTTATGGTTTTGCGGCTTAAATTTCTAAAATTTAACCGCTTGGGCCCCTTTGCGCTGTGCCCCCCCCCCCCCGTGACCGCGGGGGGGGGGGGATGCTACGCCACTGCCCTTTATAATCAAACCACAGAGAATGATATTCAAACTTACGGAAAAAACAAACAGACAAAATCGAGTTTTATCACACTGTGGGTTTAATGATATTAGGATTATAAAAGAAACAAATACGGCAGCACTTAGAATCAGTAATATACTGCAATTTGTTATATTTTTTGAAGAAAACTGCATCGCGACAAACTTTTTATCCCCCTCACTCCCTCAGGTGTCGCATGTTAGTCGTTGGGTGCAGGGGTCAAAATGAACATTTGATATATTGTTCAGTCGTCACCGATTACTCGCCGCGAGCGGTTGGTCGCGCGATCAAGCATTGAGGCAAAGCTATCGCGGCCATTTCAGCATTTTGTTCTTCCGATTTTTCGACAATTTCTTATTGTTTAAGTCCTAAAATACCTATCTTATATTACAGTATTAGCCGAGTTGAACTATTTTTCTTGTACATTGTTTGAAACAGACCAGTGATATAATATATTTAGGTTTTGTTGAAAACCCGAAAGCGGAATTGAATTACGCATTGAATTACGTAAAATCTCCAGGGGAGAGGTGACCAAACGGAATACCGGTACAGGAACATTTATTTCTCCTATTATGATAAAATCTTCAAGGAGGCAAAATGTCTTTTTCACCTGAAGAAATCCACAAAAAGACTGAGAATATCCATAAGGTGGGATTTTATTTTATTTTTGTATAAAATCTGAAATACATAGTTATATTCAGACATTGTAAAATATACAATGAAATAAGCTGGAATTCTATTTTTCCATCTGTTTAATGGGACACGCAAATTCTTTATGTCTAAAATCATCTTCACTTGAAAATGTTATGTCTATAATCTATGTTATGTCTTTGTATAATGAGTCTTTTATTATAGTAAGTCTTTTATTTTAATATATATTACTAACTTTTTACTTATTACATATTACTTGTTTTCATTTCATTTTTTCAAAATATTTACTCAATTTTTAAAAGTTTTTGAAAAATTTTGCTTATTTTATCTAGAACTAGAATTATTTAACTTCTATAATCTGACCTTTCGATAATCTATTCTTTTAATTTATTTGACATTAAATTTTATCTTCTAGCTGTCTGTTGCATGTCATTCGCAACCTCGGGCTAAAACAAGTCTAATCGTCGCCATGGTTACGCTGATAGGCTCGTAATAAATCTTGCCCTGTTCAATATTTTTTTTTAATATTTCAATAATGAAATGCAAAATTTACTTGCTATTTATGATATTTTCATTATTGCCATTACCAGTTGGGCTTAAACAACAAGATTACATCTGTACGCAGAATTATTTTTTTCTCCCTTCCTTTCCTTGAAAGTTTATATGTTGCACCATACTTCTGAAACTAGGCTTACTAAAAAAAGTATGAAAACAACACAGAAACAAAAAAAACATATAAACTAGTAAAATTGTTTTTCAAGTTTTTCTTCCTGTTATGCATAATTTATCTATTGGATTTTGATTTCCACGAAGATCTGTTAAATAATGCATTATAGATTAGATAGTTTTACATAGCCAATTGCTGTAGAACAATAAATATTTATGGTGTTGTCAAATATTCTTTTGAGTTTGGATAGGATTTACATATTTATTCTGGGGGAGAAAAAAGCCGATAAGACGGTTTAATCATATGGCACCACGACCTTTTGTCCGGTGACAAGTCCATGTCGGGTATGGGATTACTTAGCCAGTTATCTGTTTTCGGAAGCATGGACTTGGTGGTGGAAGAAGGTGTGACCGATCAGCGGTCACATGAACCTATTCCTAGCGCACGATGCGCCACACCGCCGTGTTGAAATCGTTCATTTGTCTATATAGTCATACAACGTTTTATACACTTTCACTCCGAACAAGGCCCTGTACAAGCATCTATTGCTAGGCTGCAAGCTACTATATTTTGGAAAGACTATCATTGCCTACCCAGTGCATTATCCTTTTGGTGACGAGGTATTTGAACCTGGAATTTTTAATCTGTGATCGCAACATGAGTCGAACGCTTCAACACCCTTTTGGTGACGAGGTATTTGAACCTGAAATTTTTAATCTGTGATCGCAACATGAGTCGAACGCTTCAACCATTGGCTGTCGCTACCAAAAGGTCTATCTGAATATACTGGGATTCAAACAAAATTAGTTGACACAATTTGAAATAATTTTCGGCTTTCTTTATTATGTGTTTGTAGTAACTTATAGTAGTTGAAAATACTCAAACTAACTCTTAGTTGAAATTTGCTATTGCCAATGGACCTTATGTTAACTGTTCTTTGACTCTGTTGTAAGGATGTCAGAGAAATATAGCAAAAAGTATTCTTTTTGATGCAATTCATTTTATTTATTGTATGTTTCGGTTCGAACCCTTATAAATGTGCTAGACAACAAAATCATAATAGATTGCTTTCTAAAATTCAGCTCAGTAATTATTTTACTATTTCAGTTGAGAAAAGATAAAATAAGATCGACTTCTGGCTTCTGCCTTTTATGCCAATTTCAGTATCTGAAGCAAAGTGTTGACTTGAATATTTTTCTATTTTGTTCTGTTTTTAGACAATCTCCGAGCAATACAATCCAACTTTAAAGAATTTTCTATTAGCTGGAAGACAATATGAAAAAGCATTATCAAGTACGTATATATACAGTTTATTTATTCATATATTTTTAGACACCAGTGTACATAGGGACCGTTGTAATAAACCGTTGTTCTTGTATTTGGGATTGCTCGAATTATTGGCTATTATTTTCATTTTTTAATTTTGTCTGTGGCGTACATGGCCTAATATTTATACTAAAATTTTGCTTTTATTTCTATATTTCAATTCATATAGAAAACTTTTATATGACATTTTTACCTATTATGTCCCTATATTTGAACAATGCTATCATGTTTTATAAAGTATATCCAGGTTGGTGAATTAGCGAAATAATAAATTTGAAAATGAAATCCCTAATTAAAATTTCTGTAAAATTGTATTACATATTTCCAAAAGTCTAATAGTGAGTCTTGTCATTTTGTGATGTAAGCTGTATGATGCCAGATTTTACAGACTTATCTATTTACCATCAGTGTTTACCAGATGTCAAGTACTTGAAGTGGTTGATAGGCACCTGTAAACTGTAGGGCAACCTAATTATTGTCAAACCGGACGGCTAATTCTTAGATCTAATTGTATATGGCTAATGAACAATGTAGTTTAGTTTCAATTACACAATGATATTCAATTATTAACACTATATCGCCTCAGTTGAACAAAATTAACATGTCATATTTTAACAATTTGAGAAAATCGCATTTTAATAATAGTTTTGTACTATTATCCAAACCTAAGAATAGACATTCGGCACTATCTAAAATAGAACCTAAAACTGGTACAGCTTTGAAACCCAGACCAAAAGATGATGTCCATAATGACATAAGAAGTACTAAGTGCAATAGGTTATTTCTACTTGGTTTCAGTAGCTTATGGTAATTCAGTGGTTGGTTGCTCAGAGATGAGTCTCATTCATTCATGAGTGAGGGGGAGTGACCTCGCCTTGAGCAATTCTTCTAAAAATGGAAAGAAAGAAAAATGAGCCAAAATATTCAACACATTTTCAGATCAGTACTTATCTAGTATTTTTTTTTTTTTTCAAATTCTTCGTTGCACTGCATTGCATTAGATATTTTTCATGTAACTCTTATTTTGCTCATTTTTGTTCCAAGGAACTCATTTTTAATTTTTACATGTTTCATGCTTTAGATGTATCCATTGCATCAAGGCAATACTTTGATACAATGGCAAAGTTGGGTTCAGTGGCATCTGACAATGAAAGTTCTAAAGATCTATGTAAGCATATTTTCTTGTATTGAATTAGATTTTCACTCATTTATAATCCAGATCTGGTGATCAACACTAATCTATGTTTTGATACACTGCAGGTAAAAATTTAGCAGTTATCGGTTAAATTCAGTGATGTAAAAAAGTTCTGTTTTTAAAAATGAAATTCAAAAATATAGATTTTCTTTTGACAATTTTATCTAAATTTTGTATTTTTTAAGCTGAAACTTTTTTAAATTCTTGCTCAAAAACAACCCTTTTAAATTTTTTAACGTGCCAACTACACTTTCTGATCAACTTCTGATTGTAAAATATTAAATTTTTAGATACTTTTGAAATTGGTTAAATTTGATGTTGTTAAAAATGTTAATTCTTAATTCTAGGAATAGTTTTGAATATTTTTATTTGAAACTTTATTATAATGAGCATTTGACAGGCAACTACATTGAGAAAAAATGAATATTAATCAAAACTATATTCATCTCAAACATTCTTCATTTTTAAATTTGGCCTATTTTAGAATGTAATCATTATTCCACATTTGAAATATATTTCAGAATGTACATGAAATAGTAAATTATTTTCAGAAGCTGAAATTGATCATATTTCTGATAGGTTGGTAGTATAATTTGAATTAAAATTGATTCTTTGGAACGCCAAGTTTGAAAATTGGTGCACCAAGTTTGGAAGTTGAAATTGACCATACCTATGATAGACTGGTTCATTGGAACACAAGGTTTAAAAATTGGTGCATCCGCAGAAATTGAGAACGGTACATGTTGTCTGATGCATCATATGGATAGACCTTGTAATGTTTACCTTATGTTAGGCAACTTCTGTAAATGATTAACATGAATGTATTGAAAACATCCTCCATTCCACAGTTCTGGCAAATCATCAACAGAAAATCACACAGGATCTCATTTATTTTGGGAAAGATAAAACGAATGCATTATAGATAGGCACTTTCACTTTATTATCAATAAATAAATATTATCTCTCATGGTTATTGTCAGTTTTTAATATTTATCATTGGGTCATTGGTATTTGTTTATGAGATTAGAAAGTTGAAACTACCAAAAGGGTAAATTTTAAAACTGAAAGATTTCACACCAATACTAATTAAAAGTGGTTTCTGTAAATGATGGTATTACGTATTATCACTTGATGTGTGTATAGTCAAAATGGGGGTTTGATAAATGATTTAGGTATATTTGATTAAATTATGTTAATATTTTAGATCCCATGTATGTTATTCTTATATATTTTCTACTTTTAAATACTTTGTTGACTTTGTTCCCTTGTTTGTTTTAATCTCTATATCTGGGAAATCGTTATTGCAACAAATTTTATCTTCATCTGATATTCTTATATTATGTTTTGCATTCTATATACTTTTTTGACAATTTTTGAAGAGCGATTTCTCAAAAATTGGCCAATTATGCAGAAATGACCAAAATTTTTGAATATCTTTCCCAAATATCAAATCTTAGAATTTAAATTGATTCGAATTTTTTGACATGCTGATAAGTTTTGTGGTGATGACACATATTCTATATTCATAGGATTTATATGAGAAGTTTTAAAATTCAAAGAGTAGATAATTGAGATTTTTACTTGTATACTTTAATTGCCTTCCATGGAAGTATATAAGTACAGAATAATATCATTTAATTTTTTCAATACAGGTGAAAGTACAAGACAAATTTCTGATACTCTGAGGCAAACGCAACTTAATTTTGATGAAACGGTAAGTTAGCGTTATCTAATACCTAACCTACCTAATAAACTAGATTCCTGTTGCAGGATAATTTTGTGTCAATTTCAAATCCTTTGTGGTCTTGGCTTGATTTAATTTAATGTGCCAATCGCTGTTATTAACCGAGTGTCTGTGCCCCTATATCATTTTAATTATCTGAGTATTTCTTGGTATATCTGTAACATGCCAGTAACTTTGTCTATCAGTAATTTTTTATCGATTGTTGAGTTCTTTTAATCTTGATTTTGAAGCATTTTAGAGACCATAAAATATTCATACAACGCATTAATCTACTATAATCCGTGAACTTGAGGTGTAAATCAACCCCTTATCTGATTAAGCAAAATTGGTTTCGTGGCAGTATCTTACGTGTACATGTATCGGGGTATTTTTTAATAAAATTGTGTTTGTATATAATAGGCTAGTCTATGAGGTTTCAAGTTTAATATAACTCTGTATTCTGGTTTTTCCTGGATTAACTTCTGTTAATTCCAACCTAATTAAAGTACGGAACAGGCATGGCAAACATGTAATCTAAAAATCCTAATATTAATTCATATCCGCACTTCACTATAATCTAAATAATCTGGATTCGATTGTCCTTGGAAGGCTCATTCATCACATTATTTTGATTTGGAATATCCTATCAAATATTTCAATTCTAAATGTGTTTGGGAATATATATTCTCTGAAAATTTTTCTCTTAGTTATGGTTTTGTGTCATATTTTGACAAATACCAGATACGTGGCCTTATTAAAAAAATTTATTGGTTGTTTATTTTTAGTTCAGTCATACTTTTAGTTTATAATTGATAAATGCCTGAGGACACATACCTAATCAGGTTTAACAGCTGTTGGTTGAACTTGACTTTGCCAAGGTCATCCAGTATCATAGATAGAATGATTGAACAATGGTTTTCATAATCGGAGCATGGAAAGTTTTTATTACGACATAATATGCCTTTCGCTCCGAACAAAGCCCACAGGGTTTTATGGTCAAAATTAATTTTAAATTTTTTTTTTTCAAAATTAAATTTTTTTTTCAAAATTAAATTTTCAAAATTAAAATAAACAAACATTTTACTGTATCATACATTCATACAAAGGAATTTGTCATAGCTTGAACACTTTTTAGACCATCAAGACTTCACGTTTTCTGTCCTCCAGTCAGACCCGCTTGTTATTACGGCCTAACAGCAATTAGAAATTTCAGACCCCCCCCCCCCTGAAAATTTCTGGCCACACATCTGAGGGCTTGTTCTAATATTTCCAATATTTCTCCATTTTTTTTATTCTATTCTAATTAATTATTCTTTTCATTCACTTTAGGTGAAATTTTTGAGTACGGAAGTTATATATCCATTGGAAAACAAGTTGGAAAATGACATGAAGTATATGCAAAACCTACAGAAGAAATATCTTAACGACTATAGGTTAAGGACAGAGGTACGTTATATTACTGGGATCAAAGCCGCCATAGTTTGTAGAAAGATCTTGTCAAATCAATTGGGGTACTCCCGTAGGGTGTGTACCAGGTTAGGGTTAGGCCATAATTTTCTTCCGATTTTCCTAATTTAGTTCTATTACGAGTTCGCAGATTGTCTGTGTTAGCCAATTGAATATACACCCTGCCCATAGGTTTCAGTCCCTTCACACAACTCGATGTAAAGTAGGCCAACAAAATTAGCTACCTCCATATTGGTACACACATTTCTGGAGCGCCCAAATTGATGCTCTAATTTTGTTGCTGTAATTTTGTATTATCTGAATTCTTAATTTCTGAACAATAAATTTTTTAAATAACCCTAACCGGTGATTGCTATTTTACAATGAAAAATGGCGATTTTAGTATATTTCTGATAATATTTTTCTAGGATCTTCAAAGGATAACACAAACCCACAGGAAAATGAAGCAAAAAAGTTTTAACGGAAAAAAATCTTACAAATATGACGAAAAAGAGAAAGAGGTAGTGTGCCAAAATTTCTGTAAATTGAAAAGTTACACAATACAATATTCTCATTTTCAAATGCTGCCTTCTTTTCTAATTCCTCAAACTATTGCCTCATAGAAAGGTTCTTTATGAGGGAGTCTTCTATAGCAAATGTATTATGATTCTAATTGATGTTTTATTGTCTATATCAGGCTTTTGAACTATTTTTTGTTTTTGTAATTTACTCGATACAGTCAATCATGATATAATTTAAAAATCTTATGTCTTTGTTATGGACAAGGTTGCGAGACATTGTCTATTAAAAACAGTCTTGCGATTATGCAAACCATTCATGACTGATTTTTACTCGTTGAGTCGAAAACTTGTAAACTGCCCTATTTTACATCACAATAAAGTCTTTCTGTAGTGTTTGTTCAAGGTTCTCCGTTTTCTATCTTTTGTTCAACCATTGTTATTACCAAACAATTGAACGAATTCAATAGTCGGTTAAGTGTTAAAGAGTTTACTTAGTTTGACTTTGAAATAATCTGTTCTTATAGATTTATGGGTGTTTTGTCTTCCTATCTTGCTGTAGATATTGTGTTTTAAAGTTTAACTCAACCAAGTGAATATACCCCCTATTCATAGGCGTCAGTCCCTTTACACAACTTGACGTGAAGTAAGCGAACATAATTAGTTACCTTCATATTGGTACACATACTTCTGGACCGCCCATAATTGTACCAAGAGTTGGACAAAATCTACTATTTCAAATACATCCTGAAAATTTTTTTTTTATATGGAATATTGGATATATTCCTAATCAGGCAATTCAACAAAGATAACACAAAAGATGACTTAAATTTAATTGGTGTAAATTTGATAAAATCAGAAAATGCAAACTTCCAAGTGTGACTGTTTTAATTATTACTAGAATGAAGGATTCAAATATTTGATTCATCCAATCAAAGATATTTTTTGACTGACATAAGCAAAATTTGATAAAAAAATGGTATTTTTGGCACCAATGGCACCAATTTTAAACAGACTCAATCCCACCAATTAATTGTGATTTGAGTATTATTACATTTGGTGTTTTAAAAATTTAGCATCCAAATTACTGATTTATACGGTATACCTATGAAGTGCACATAATATGAAATCCAATCAAATTCCATGGTGTATGTATATGATCAATCATTGGCTTGCAACGCACCTCATTAGCACCCAGGTGCCAATCTCCTAGTGTTTGTAAAAATCGAATTCACTCAACTTATCAATGTTAAATAAGTTCTATTTTAAAATAAAAATATGGTGGATATGGTAATATGAATAATATATATTGCATTATTGCCATAATAACAATGCTCAATACTTGTAAGGATTTTTATGGATCCCTTTGCTTAATACTAAATTATATTACATACCGGTCACATTTGATGTCCAGATATTAAGATTTACGATGAGCATTCTACTGCACCTTTGTGTATTCACCACCACACCCATTTAACACAAATATGCAGGCAAATCATTTCAACAAAGTTTATTTTAAACACTGTTCGTTTATGACAGGCTTGGTGGATATCTGTGACAGTTACATTACGCATGTGCTGTTTATTATGGATAAATAGATCACTTATTTGCGCTATAGAAACTTTATTTGCAAAGCATTTTAGTTTTATTGTATTTAAAAGTATTGTGAAGTGAATTACATATTTTAAATTTAGGCATAAATCAGCAGGCGCCAAACCTAGACTTGCTATTGCTTAGATTCTTTCTACTATTTTTCTTTAAATTGTTCATAAATCTCTGTCATCTGCTGTCTTTGCAACTTTAACTTTTTGAGTACATAGGTTATGGTTTTATTACACAAGAAAGGTTTTCTAATCATGCATTCATATTTTATCATTTTTTTTTTTTTTTCAGAAATAATGAAACAGATTCAATAAAGCTGTATTTTTTTCTTTTTTTTTGCTAAAAGTATTTACGGATTTGTGTGTTAGTGAATACCAATTGATGTTATGGAAGCATCACATTAAAAACAATGGCATTTGTGTTATTGTTATTCTTTACTGAAATACTCCCAAATATTTTAATTTTATTTATATATACTCCAGAGCCTGTCATTCAGATCTGTGATATCCATAAATATATCATATCATGATTCAGTGACAAGGGCTCTCAACATTTCGAGAGTACTTTAATGTTCAAGTCAAAACTGGTTATACCCTCTTGACAGATTTTATACTGGATTACGGGGTCGGATAATAATTTAAATCCAGGATGTTCTGCGCAACTTCTACATATACGATTATTGTAATAGGTTTAATATGTAAATCTCTAAAATACAAATTTTCAAAAAATGTAGATTGTTATTCCATTTGAGCGAAAAATTTTTTGGATAATTTAAAAATTGTTTTTCCAAATTTGTAAATATCAAAGATAAATAAGACCTGAATATATGAAGCTCTGCTGAGTTATCTAGCAATGCGTATCAACTTATAGCAATGTTATCAACTTATCAAAATTAGTTTTCATACAGTATTCTGAATTTTGTAAATCGGATTGGATTGCTCATGCGATAATTGCACTTGTAAAATTGTGTTTTCTTATACTTGTAAAGGAGATATAGGCCAGGTATCCATCTCAATTATTAAATCATAAGCAAAACGACAACCAAGGCCATGCTTCGGCTTCTGATTTCAACATCTTATAGATTTTTCACTCTACATGAATAATAAATTATCGTTATAGAAATATCTGGTTGTAACTTGAAGTTTAGACACCGTTTTTCTGATAAACAAGTACAGCCGATTAGCGCCTTTCATTTAAGCTCATTTTAAAATCTCTTTACTTGTCTAATGTCTGACAGATAATAGGAGATTTCGCCAAGTAATTTCTATCTAAATAATTGATGAGAATGTGAATTGGCTCATTAATTTCGAAATCAAATGCTTTTGAATAAAATTTTGTGAATAGTAGCTTTTCATAATGATGTAAACAGACAAATGGGATTGGTATTTTGTAGATAATTTCTTTTTAAACAATATTGCATACTCCTGTAGTGTGTGTACAAGGTTAGAGTTAGGCAATAATTTTATTCCGATTTTTCTTATTTTAATTCTATCACAAGTTCGAGTACTGTCTGTGTTAGCCAAGTGAATATACTATACTCCCTGCCCATAGGTTAAGTTCCTTTATACAACTTAATGTGAAGTAGGCGAACTAAATTAGTTACCTCCATATTGGTACACATACTTCTGGAGCACCGGTTTCCAAATGTAAACACTGTGAACACTGTATAATTGTGTTGGCATCGCATATTTCAGATCTCATGCCCATGATCTCTTCCAAGATGGAATAACTTGGTTAGGCATTACCAGACGGGAAAGATACCGGCCGCTCAAAAAATAGTTAGACTTGAAAGTATAAAAAAAAATTTTGTCCAGAAAGAAATTAGCAATTTATAATTTATTCAATTTAATAGGCACCGGAAAATCTTGAATAGAATTTCACCATGTTCTTGATAGTATTTTACTCTGCATTATTGATGAGTTAGGTCTCAAATTATCTGTTGGTGTCGGAGATCTATGAGTTCAATTTTTAATTCTGTTTTATAGTTTTTATTGTTAAAATTAGACATGATTCTATAAGTGAATAATTTTGCCGTGCAATGTTATAAACTCATCTTAGTTTAATAACTTTCGAGTAGTGCTTTAGGGTTATATGGTCAAAATCACCCTGTAAATTGCCACCTCCATAGAGGACAAAACAAATTTTAGGGCAGATACAAATATTTTTTCTTCGCTCCTTCAAATAAAATATTGGGTATTCATGTAGTGTATGTACCAGGTGAGGGAATAATTTTATTCAGATTTTCCTTATTTTAGTTCTATCACGAGTTCGGGAGCTGTCTGGGTTAGCCAAGTGAATATACCTCCTGCCCATAGGTTTCATTCCCTTTACACAACTTGATGTAAAGTAGGCAAACAAAATTAATTACCTCCATATTGATACACACAGCTGAAGCGCTAAATATTGTATAATTATATTTACCTTGGAATAGATTCGAATATTAGATTCTTTTTGGACATCTCTGAATCAATTATAGACAAGCTCAATTCTTTTCGCTCTACTATACTGGTACAGGTAATTTTTTCCAATGTGCCCTTTTTGACCAAATATATTTTTTCAGTTGGCAGAAACGGTTGCACATAAACAGAGGTCGTTTGAACAATTCCAACATGATCATTTGAAGAATGCTTTTATTGAAGAAAGAAGAAGATATTGTTTCTTCGTTGAACAAAATTGTGAACTTACTAAAAAGAAAATCATGTATCATCGAAAAGTAGGTGGTGGCTAGCTTGAAAAACTCTTGTAGTCACTAATCAGTTGATAATTTACTCAACAGATTCCGACTTGTGTACTGTACTATAATAATTGAGCAAATTAGTATATAAATTGCTTGTCTAAAAATTCTCCTGAAATGACTCTTCAGGAAAGACCATAATAATGAAAACTGGGGTAATTATTTTATCTCATCGTTATTGTCTGATTAGGGAAAGGTGAAAATGCAGATTAACAATTTTTTGTTATCGACCTGGTTGTGTGCTTCTTTATTCGACTAGCAAATTTGTGAAAATAGGAAATTTGGGCTAAGCTTGTGGTTATGTAAATATTTGTAAGGGCATAATTTTGTCTGGTTCATTTATTTCTATAGCTATATACCGTATTCACCAATCTCTGTTGGTTTTGAAAATATGTGACTTTTAAACATATTGCACATTATTTTGTATTCTTTTTTCAAACTAAAACATTGATATCTAAATAGTTTGATGACATGATTGTTGTGTGTGATGCTTTTACACTCAATCATCTCTGGATTAACTTTGCGGAATAAAACTTTTGGACACTCTGTTCACCTTGGGCAAATTTATTGCTTATTCTTCTCAATTTTTATTTTCCATTTATTCTTGTCTTTTCGATCATTCTATATAAATGTTTCAACTCCATTATCCTTATATATATTTTTATTTTAAGGCCTTGGAGTCGTTAACAAGTCAATTACCAAAGTGGGTGGAATCATGCGCTGATGCTAAAATTCTTCCAGATCAAGCAGATTTGTTGCTAGGCAACGTTAAATCTGATGATAATAATTCTATTTATTCTATTCCTGAACCACCGAGTGAGCCCGCTGCTCAGGTGAGAGAATCAGCACTTGCATTTTTGTTATGAAATGGAAATAGTTCGAATAGAATGTACTTTGTGAATTTAACTGTTTGTCAATTGAATTTTTTTCGAACCAAATTTATTATCATTTGGAAATAATTGAGAAATAGTTTCATTCAAAAAATTATCATTTTCAGCAAATAAAGTTTAATAGTGGGACTGAAATAACCTTCATTTAATTCTTGGAAACTCAAAAGTATAAAACTAATCGAAATCATTTTGTTCTAACTTACGTTTTGCTTAGTTAGTTTTTGAAAAAAAACTGCCTTTTTCTGCAATCAAGGCCTAATCGATCTTGAATTTTCGGTGTTTAAAGATGGTTGATGCTGCTAGAAGGCTATTGCTTATTTTAACTTTCATAATCTTGTGGTAACCCTGAATTTCACTCAAATTTAGCTGTTTTATTTTAATTTATGGGAACACTTTAGTGTGACATATAGAAACACTTTTATTAGGTTTAATTGGTTTCATTTTCATGTATTTGAGCGTTGAGTTTTTTTTTTTCTAGTATAATGGTGGATATGGAAATGTAATGCCGGGAAGAATGAATCCAACAATGAACAGTCATTTGCAAGGTAAAGAAATATTGCTGATTAATAAATTTTTGTTCGTTTTTGAATTGCATTTGTTTATTGAACCTGCTATTGAGAGACTCTTGGGGTGCAGGCACGTTTTTCCAAATAATTCTATTCATTTAGTTTTTAATTTAATTTTAATTTTGGCTAACTTTGTATATTTCTGATTTATTGTACATGTCAGGACTATTTGTTTTATTTTGCATCTCACACAGATGGTTACAATGCACCTTTGCCACAACCCGTCAACTCTACCGGTCATAATGTAATTCCAAGGGAAAACAGGTAAAGATGAATTTTTGAATTTACTTTTTGTTCTTGTGGTGTGCCTGTCTTTTTGCAGTCAAATGATTTATTGTTGTTGTTTGATTGCTAGATTGCTTGATTGCTCCCACATATGGGAGGGAAGCTCAAAAACAAAATCAATCATTTTAGATAATAGTAATGCAAAGCTAATGGTTAAATTTTATAAAAAATTCGTATTCTCATTCAATTTTTTTCCAAAATACTTTATCCTTGTCAACAATTTGTTTTTTTCATATGAAAATTTACTTAACCTAATGGTTTTATTCATTACCCAAGCACCTATATGCTGTTAATTCTGCAAAAAAATGCACTTTTGTCTTAGTTGTTTTGATTTGTTCTAGTCAAAACCAATGCTTCAATGCTGAACTAATGTTATCGCTTCATTTAATGACGTAAAAACGATATCAAATTATGCTCGGTAACTTTATCTTGCCGCGACATCTTTATTGTGGTAAATTACAAGGCTATTACGTGGGATTTCAAATTAAATTATGATGTTCGGTGCAGGTAAGAGCCACACATTATTAAAGCCCTAAGGGCACTAAATTGTGCTTGAACTTATTATAATGAGGGTTCAAGAGTTTTATAGATGCCAGATTTTAAGTAGTAATTAATTAATGCATTAAATTATGAAAATGAATCGATCCTAGGGTTACCCATAAACCATAATAAATGGTTCGTTCGGTTACATTCAAAACTGGTTACACTTGGTACAGGCAAAATAGTCGTTATAACACTACTGAGATTGGAAAATGAAAAATCAAACAAAACAACCTTTATCTGAGTTATTCCTGCAGCACCAGATTCAATTTCTATGTATTCACAATGATATAGTATATATATTTGATATAGTAGTTTCTTCATTTCATGGTTAGGCTATATGTTTTTTTTTCGTTTAGTTGTAAAGTCGACTTTCAAGCATTTGAGATATGTTGGTCAATATACTTATGAAAAACCTAACGAACTCTTGTCAACTATAGAATTCAAGTATTTAGGCAAAACAATGTTCAAGCATTTCTGCATTTCAATCTTTAAAAAGTATATAATCATTTATATTGAATGTTGAACCTTGTTAAAACTTGATCAAATTTGGAACATTTGAAATCATGCTTTTACTGAGAGCACATTGATGACATAAAAATAGGGACAGATATATGATTATGAGAGCAGACTCTGAGTTTATTAACATAGGTGGATTCTTAAATTCCTCCTTCTGCCTAATTTGGAACCTTAACACATCCCTCATTATGCACGAAAACTACCTTACATACTTTACATACAAGACAATTTGTGTTTGAAAACCAGTTGATTTTATTAGGGAATTGAAATAAAACTGGTATCCATTATTGATATTTTGTATAGCAATTTAGCTAATGCTTGAAATCAGAATTTTTGCGAGAAATTTTTTGTCTACCATTTGTATTGCTTGGTTTAAACGTTTCACAATCAATATATCTCATGTTTCGTGATAAGTAAAAATCTTAAATTGATTATGTCATTAAGTTAGGCAATTAATCTTACATGAAACGGCAAGTTCACGAACTTTAACTATTAATAAATCACTTATTAAAGAATATAATCGGTACTTATCGGTACATATCATCTTACCACAAGTTAAATTTTTCATTTCGTGGTGTTAATTATCTCCTGCAGAGTTCAAACGTTTTGTGGTATTTGTGTGGAATAGTTTATCTATATATAACTCCTGGAATAGTATTGTGGTTTCCTAGGGTTAAGTTTTAATTTGGCATCGTCTTCTTGAATGTCAAGTTTGACAAGTTTTTCGATAGCAATAAAGAATTATGTACTTGGGTGTTTTTATTATGCTGTATATCCATATTAGGCACCTAGTTATTATATAACTTTGTGTTGCCATCGCTTCAATGTAGAGTGTTAAAAAAGTAACACAACTTTTAAAGATTAAATTTTGCATTCATTTTTTAACACTTTGTAGTATGATATTTCTTTCTCTATTGTATTTAATTTATATGTCATCAATTGAGTGGCCAGAAAAATTTCACTCCTTTCATAGTAGATCACTACAATCTATTTACACACTGATATCACAATTATTTTATATATATATTATAGTATATGACCGAACTTCTCAAAATGTCTTGCTTGGTTTTAAATATTTGTCATCTAATCACGCTGACAAGTCATACCTTACGAAATTGCTTCAAGCTAATTATATTTATAGATAATTTAATTGAGATTAATTTCAGTGGCCTATGCCAGTTTGCGAAATATATTTATAAATAGTGTTTACTTTAGTGATTTACTAACAAATCTTTTACTGTCATCAAAAAAAATTTCACTTACCGGAACTAATTTTCGTCTTGGGTTTAAGCTATATTTTTCTATCAACTCACTATGAGCTATACTTCAATATTATCACTGTCTTCTTTTTATCTTCAGGAAAAGAGTTGTTGCTGTTTTCAGTCATTCAGTTCCTGGAAATCCCACCCAACTAGGTTTTGAAAAGGTGAGATTAATATATTGGATTTATTATATAATATTATTAATACAGGACGGACACAAGTGCTGCGCTTTGTCAATTCTCACTATAGTGTTTTTTCAAACAAATTTATATTCAGTTTTCAAATCGGAGCATAAAAATTTGCCATTTTCAATCTTTTAGGAATATTTTAGTATTTTATCATTTTATTCAGCTATTATGTATAGATATATCTTATTCTTATCAATAAAATTCAATGTCAAAACCTGATATTAATTGTTTTGTTACAGTGTGTACAGCACTGAAATTCAATTTTTCAATATTGCTATTTTTTTTGAATGTTTTGTTCCGTTTGTTTGTTTGGTATTTTTTGTTTTTATCGAAAGTTGCTTCACATTCGAATATTATATATGATTCTGTTGCAGTGCACCACGACTCTTATTGTAAGATTCCTATGCATTTGTTGTAATATAATTAAATCTTGCCAACAATAAACAATACATTTTAATGATAAAATTTTATTAGCCTATCCTTTATTCTGTATGGCTTCCCCGACCACCAAGGTATTGAATGTGGAAGATTATTGTTGGCCATTTACATACCCAACTTGAACGGATATCTGTTTGTGATTTCCTATTTTATCACGATGTATTATTGTAAGCATACCTCTCTTCAGATATACCGGGATGTACCGATAGTTATATTAAGTGCATAGACCTTATTCCCATATTCTTTGACAGGGTGATGAAATTATATTGATGATACCGATGCCCAGAGACGGATGGCATTATGGTGAAAATGATAGAACTAAACAGTAAGTATTACCTCGTCTTGTATTGTTTTATATCATACAACTCATTCTACGAGGATTGAAAAAATTTTGGTGCATTGCATACATTCAGTATTTGGATTGTTTCATTATGTATAAACTTTCAGTAGCTTATGAAATTCAACAACTTTTCTCGGGGATAAGTGGGTCTGTGTGACTTTACTTTGAGGAAATTATTTTCAAAAACAATTTTTTATTGAAAAACTAGTCAACCGTATGTTATTACTGGGTGTGGTAGGGTGGGACATTTTAGGCTTAACCAGGAGATTGCCATGAAAAATTGAGTAAAAGACATATCTTTGTAGATCACACATTCAAAGTTGAGAGAAATGCTCCTATATATCATATTAAGACATGGATGACCAAAAATAGCCCCTGAAATATCAGAAAAATCCTGGACTTCAAAAGAATTTTTTGTTTTTGTTTTTAAATAATAAAATTCAAAAAAAATTTTTTTTTTTCTGAAAATTGACATAACCCAATGTGAGTCCTGACCACCATACTACTGTCCTAGCCATAAATTTGAGCCACGGTTCAGCAACTTTCCTACTTTTTTTCCTACAGACGTGGATGGTTTCCTTTCTCCTACACAAGGTTGAAAGAACAACCCAGTGCATTGGAGAAACCTCAGGAGTGAGTACAATATTTAGATTCAAACCTTTTGCAAAATACATTCCAGGGTCTATGTATAACATGGACATAAATGTGTACATAATGGACAGTGTTGGCAAATGGTGCAGATTCCGAAATAAAATGGTTCAATGAAATTGTATTGTAGACCAATTTCATCGCTCATGTCATTGCTTTATAGATTTTGAACATTGTCTTGTTATAGGACTGATTTATCTCCTCAAAATATATTAAAATTCAAAATCCAAGTTTAGAAAATTAGCACAAATAAAAATATTAGATTTGTCAAATTTTAAATATGAATTCATATTTATCCATATATTAGCAGACATTCAATCGACCGACTAAATTCCAAACTTTTCTGGAATTCAATCATATTTTAATCATTACTAGTGTAAATGTTTTCAGCCTTGCTATTACCTAATCAAATTTGATACAGCTTTTTATCCAAAAATGCACACAGCACTTTCTTTCAACACTGTCTCACCACAACTGTAGCTATCTATTTCTGTGTCCTGCTTTATATAGCTTTCCCCAGGTAGTCTGGATTATTTGTTTTGTAATTTAATCTCTTTTCTCCCTTTTATAGAACATTTGCTTACTTAGTGGTACATTGTCTCTTATGAGTATTGATACCCAATTATAGAGTCTACCAGGTTTGGCCAATAGTAGACTGAAACCGAATCGGACTTAATGAACCTGGTTTTTGTTTGTCCAGATATTGGCCAAGTGTGATAAAGTATGTGTTCTATTTGTGATACATACTCTGGTTCATGAATTGAATATTTTAATAATATCCCATTGTGTTAATGTTTTGTTAGGGTGTTAATGAAATGTAGGATTTATACAGTTCCAAACGGAACAATTATCTCATATCATACTTGATACACTTGTTCTTTTTGATTTTTTAAATTTTTAAATTACATTACATTTCCCAGACCCTGGTATGTTCAACTACTTTGATTTGTAGGAATTTATGCCTTAAGTTAGTGACAGTGTTTAATAGTAGAAAAACTTTTGCAATATTTCAATTGATGCAGTTAGCATTTGGCCCCGGTATGAGTTCAGCATTTCTGCATATTACTTTTAAATAGTAAATCCTGTCTTCTAACTTGTTTGCTTCAATGAAATCATCTGATTTAAACAATTCGTTTAATACAATAATATATATTGAGTAGCCTATTGATAACGATATTCAGTGTACGTCCTAATTCTTTTACAGGCCAGTTGTTGGACACATGCCTCTTCCACCTGCTGATTATAATGAGCCTTCAGTTCAGCAGGTTAGCACTCAAATTCTCATACAATGTTAAAAAAACTTTTGATACCTGATCCTGTTTGTCTAGAGCAGGGGTTCTCAACCTCTTTTTCTGTCAAGTACCCCCCGAGTCACGAAACAATCAACCCGAACCTTCGGTAATTAGACGCCGAACAAAGTTGTGATATATTGTTATTGATAACGATTTGTTGAAACAACAATTTATTGACCAGATGTAACTAAATTAATTCTTAGTGTTGATATTATTGCCCTTGCCTAACTAATGAATTCTTGAAATCTCTCCCAAGTTTTAGTAAGCATAATCACTTTCTCCAATGCCCGCAGCTCGCTGTCTTTTGATATTTCACAGTTTGTACGCAAAGCCTTGAATTTCACATTGTTGCGTCACAATCATAAAAACGCAACATCAGGGAAAATCTATGTTTCAATTGGCATTCAGTTTCGATCGGCACGCATTTTCCCTCATGGTAGTAATAAAGGATATTCAAAAACAGCAACACACAAAAACTTGACTGCCGTCCAAGTACCCCTGGAAATCTTCTCGTGAACCCCTGGAGGTTCGCGAACCCCACATTGAGAACCCCTAGCCTAGTGAAATGACTTGGGAAGAATATGTGACATTTTTCTCTTTTCATTCCTGTGTGGCTTGGGTCACAATTCATGCAAGGACACAAATATAATAGACCAGTGGTTTTCACACAGTGGGGCATTCTACAAGAGGGGGGGGGGGGGGGCTTGAAGCTAACTGAAAATAAAAAAAAATTTTAGTTTTGATCTTGCCCGCCTTATTTTGTATATTTATGTTCCGTCCAAGTATTTTCATTTTCAACATGTCTTTTGAATAAAACATAATTCTCTTTACTATCTGTTATTTGCAGTTTATTGTTAGCTAGTTAATTTTGAGATGGGGTGTGAGTGTGAGACTTGACAATCATCTAAAATGGGGGTGCTTGAGTGGGCTCGAGTTAGAGAACATGATTGACATTCGACAACATGATTTTGATTTGATATCAAAGCTCACACTTGCATTTTAGTTTGCATCTTTACTGATATTAAAAGACGATGTAATATGTTCAGTTCAGATCAAATTTGGTGTACTCGTTTAGATTTCTTTTTTTATTTGAAAAGCTTGATAGATAAACTTAAAATAGATAATCATCTGAAATATCCGAGATATTTTAAATTTATTTTTTAGAATGGAAATGGATGGCCTGCCCCTCCTCAAGATCATGGGTAAGATTAATATCAATCATATTTCAAGAAAAATGGAAATTTGAGATACTCCATTTGTCAATTACCAATTTCATTATTTAATTTAAGTGTTCAATTATTTATCTCGGTATGTAGAGATTATATTTGGTCAATGTTTATTATTGATAAAAATTTTTGAAAAAATAAAAGTCAAGGAAGTGATGTTATATGCTTTGTCATAAAATTTGGCATGGAACTTTATTTAGCTCCACAAATTCCCGATGTTTGAAAACCAATTCAAGTAACTTTTTCAATCAGTATTTTTACTGACAACAGACAACTTCAAATTAATTTTTCATTTATTTATTTTATAATTCCCAACTAAAAGTAAAAGTTATTTAATTGTATGTACTTCCATATAATGTTAATTATAATTAATGTTATTAATAAATTAATTTTGAACATATGATTTTTCATGTCATCTTAAAAATGAAGATTTTCCAATTCATAAAATTGAGTTACGTCATTAAAATTAAAATGATGAAATGAAGTTATAAAATACTAGGGTACTGCAACAGAGGGAATAATAGTGATTGGTTGGTTTCTTCGCTTGTGATATCAGTTTATTTCAAATATCGCTGTTTGGGTTTAAACTTAACAGCTAGATTAGTTAGATATTTCAAGGGGGCTATATTTTGGAACTATATTAGAGATTTTTATATATTCCAGCCCTATGCTTCACAACTTGAAGTTCTATTCTTTCATAAGAATGTTCCTCATATAAACTGCTAATTGAAAGAAAATAGATTCTCCATTGGAAAGAATTTACCCTTGCGCTGTCACCCCAGTCCTTTTGATTTGAAAATATTTAAACGACAGAAAATAAATGAGAAGTTAATTCATTTTGAAAATTATGTAAATCAGAAGCTTTTCTTTCCTTGTTGCAGTACACTTATAATTATGCATGAATATTATTCAAAACTAAATTTTTCATTTTTTAAACAAAAGTGCTCCGGACTCCTATCGACAGATGAAGGATCAAATGCTATCCGGGTGAATTATTCATGTAGTATTGCGGCGTAGGGTGGTGATTGGTAGCTTTGAATTTGGTGGGAATATCTGTATTGGAATGACGGATATTCTAGAAATTTCTCTCACAATTTTAATTTCTAAAAAAAAATTTTCATAATGGCCTGAAAGAACTCATTCATCACTTTGTTAAAAAGGTGATTGTGACAGTGTTCATTTAAACACTTTTAAGACTCATTATTGAATCGCATTTTCAAAATTAATGGTCATTATCTTGATATTCTCTAGTTAATTTAGTTTTGAAATCATATTTCAGCCTTTTTTTATCAAGTTGCGCTTTACTTGAAAACGTTTTTGATTTGAAACTTTGGTTTGGTGTGCAAAAAGGGTGATAAAATAGTTGTCAAAATGACACTTACCGGTATTCTAAAATACGCTTTTGACTGTGTTTCGGTGTTCATTTTAATCGTAACATTCTTCATTGGGTAGTGGGTGCCTAATTTAGTACAATAACCTTGCATGTTAATCAAGAAATAATCAAATTTCAAAATTTATAAAATTCACTAAAATGGCTAATTCATGTTTTTCGAATAAATTAATCTTTACATTTCTAATAGCTTATGTTTTTTGATACTCAGTTTTCAGTTATTCATTAAGGTTTGAAGTGAATGTAATTATAATCATATGTATTAATTCTATACAAATTTAGAAATCAGGGACTAATTCAACATATTTCGTAATCCAGTTTTTTTATAATTTACTGTGCAGTGTGAATAATTTTGTTTGTAAAATTTCATTTCATAATTCTCAATAATTTGAAAACTAATTCTTGGTGCATCTTCATGGATGTTTAATCATTTTTGTCGATTCGTGATTCAAGGGATCCAAATTTTAATCTAATGACTTCCTTCAGTTTAAGGACTAATTGCCACAGCAACAATTGAAATTCTCAGGACAAATAGAGTCTAGCAACACAGCTTGAATACCAACAAACCAAACTGATCAGTTTTGCAATAGGAACCCTGGGGGGTTAAAGCGTTAGACATAACTACCTGCAGATTGCACATCTTGGGTAACCAAACCCCCCCCCCCCCCCCCCCCCCCTCACCCAGGGCGAATCAATCAGGTGGGCAATGCTGTACGGGAAATATACAGGCTTTTTCAAAAATACTAGCGTGTTAGATATCAGTGGTTCTCTGTGTAGGGCCTCGTTGGGAAGCGTTAAATAAAAGCAGTCAAATCACCCTTTTCATAACCCACCGTGGGGTGATAATTCTGAATTTTTAGTTGGTTACAAAATGAGTAGTTTGATTCCTGGTTGTTTGAAGTTTTCAGAATAATTAATTCTCCGTTTCTATCTCTCAGTCGTCCACCAGCAGGCAGGCAAAGAGGATACAACAACAACACTGGATACTCATACTAACTGTTATATTGCATGTTGGTACATTTTAATAAAGTAACTCTTGATACTTAAGTAGTGGTGACTCTGTGAGGAGGTGATAGAATGCTTGTTGTCAAACGTCTGCTCATGTAGTGAGATAGTTCATCTAAGTTAAATATATCTTTTGATATTGTTGTCATATTCATGCATTTTCAAAGAAGTATCGTTTCGAAGGAATATTCTTTTCTTTAACTTCTCACTAAGGACTTTAAATGTCTCTCAGATTTGGTTATATTTTAATATCGTATCTATATTTTATGGAGGTATGTTAATCAATTCTCATTTCCAACCCTACTTAAAATTTAGAGGTCACTCTCTCAGCCGGAATCTGCTGCACGCTTCATTGTCCATTTTTTTCAATTCTTGTTCAGGTGGTGCTTTCTAATGTACCTGCCTCTCAAATTCTGAAAATATGAATTTCTGAAGTTCGTCTGTGAGATGATAGAATTTGGTTGAATGGTTGTTTTTATACTTTGTTCTGTAGTGGTGTGATTTTTGGTTGCGTAGTAAATGGCGTCAATAAAAATTTTCAAAATTGCAAGGAGAATTTAATAATACTTTATGGACACCCTGTTTTATTCCTTTTTCTGAATATTGCTTGATGTGCACATTTTTGCGGTGTTCAGATTTTAAATATTTTGGCTTTTATTTGTTTGAAGTAGGTTGTGATTGGTTGTATATTTTTTAGACTGTAGATAAGTAGATGGAAACAAAATTGTGTAATATAGAATGCTATTTGTAGATGTAGTTTATCAGTCCATATTAGTAGGCATTCACTATAGAGCTTAAATTTCATTTTGCATGATTGGTTGCTACCTGTCAAATATTGTCATTGGAAAAATGTTATGATTTGATGCACCTAATAACAATATTTGACTGGATTTTAATCTTTAAAAAAAGATTTTAAACGTTCGTTTGTCACGTTTGTTTCTTTTTTTTAAAACTGTTTTTAAAATTTTCAATTTAGGAATCCTTTTGCGAATGTACAACTTCGAAAAACGGAGAATGGTCAAGATGAAAATGCAAATGATTTTTCAACTTTCAGATGAAGACTAACATGTCTAAACATGTATTATTTGTTGCATCCGAATTATTGTGCCTTCCAATATTTATTATCCCAATATCAACGATACAAAATTTTATTATCTAACGCTACAATTGTTTATGTCTATGTATGATACTATATTTTCGATACTCCCGTACCAGGTTAGAACTAAAATAAGTAAAATCTGTATAAAATTATGGCCTGATATAAGTTTGCGACTGTCTGTGATAGCCAAGCAAAGTTTCAGTCCCTTTACACAACTTGATGTAGAATGGTCAACGAAATTATTTACCTTCATATTGGTACACACACTTCTGAAGCGCCATATTTTCTTCTACAAGGTCTTTGCTATCATTTTCCTCTGTGCAAAATGACTATCAAATACAGCACCAGACCAATGTACTCATACATGATTTGGCTCATAAGCTTCGAACTTCCATTCCACTTGTCAAGTTGTGCCTTGGTGATGTCATAAAGAAACAAAAACCGCAACTACATCACTTCTATGTACAGAAGCGTTTATAAAACATTACGGTAAATGTAATTTGTCGGTTCAGATTTTCTCTGCAAAATTTGTAAATATATTGAAAATATTTGTTTGAATAAGAGAGGATGTTGCTACAGGTCAAATCAAATAACTTGTACATTTATCAGTAGTAAAACAAGTTGTAAAACGTTGTATCTGAAAGTCACATTCTACTGATCGACATCAATAGACACATCTGTGTAGTTGCAAGTATTGATCATTTTAAATTCATCATAATGAAATGTTAAACTAAGTTTGAAATGTTGACATGCACCACATGCTTATTGACTTTTATTTATATATTATTTTTTTGAATTGTGGAATATAGTAGTACAAATGATGGTGGAAGCCTCCCAACAAAATATGATGGTTGGTTTTATTAAGGCAGTTACATAAATTGTGACATCACTCAGTAAAACAGAGTATTTGGAAGTTGTGACATCTCTCTTGCTCAATATTAATAAATTCAGTTGCGTTGAGTTATAGCACTTCTCGACCTTTTGTTGGCTTAAAAGTTGATTTAAGAAAGCTTGTTTTTTAAACCAAGTTTGAAATATTTACATGCGCTACACCTACATGCTTATTCACTTTTATTTATGTTTCATTTTTATTGTTTTAAAAAAATATTAGTACTAATGATGGCCAGGCTATGTCTCATATATGTACAAAATATGCCTCCATAAAGCATTAATTTACCAATTAATTCACTGTATTTATATATGTATATATTTTGTTAGATTCGGTATAAGGTACATGATATCACCATTGAGCAAATTTCCTGACGTATTACTGTTAATCACTTCTTGTGAAGGCTAAGAGCATTAGATTTGGGTATCAAGTTTGGTATACCTGATTTTTCTAGGTTAGCAATTCGTTATGAAGTCTGCGGAATTTAAATTGATGATGTATTTGATTAAGACCTATTTTCCTAAAATAAAATTATGTGCCGAATATCTTTTATCGTTTATTTTTTTTTTCTATCTCTATCGTACTTGAGAATGTTCCGGAATAACGTACTATCTGAATGAACATGACTTAGTTTTAACTGTGTTTTCTGATTGGTGGTGATTCATTTTTTTAATCTGTGACCAGCTCTTATTTCCCTTTTTCGTAATAAAGATTTGTGCTGGATCCTATTCAAGTGGTGCAATTAGGCAGATATTTTTTATAACTTCATTGCACAATAAAATCTTTTGAAATAAACTATAAGAATATAGACTATATAGCTCTCTATCCATATAGCTCTATTTGAATAGTTGCAGATCTGGTTCAAGTGTATTCCTATTGCTCTTTCAGAGCTATTTTGATATCATTAAACCGTAGTTTGTTCTGACTAATAATGATAATTTTAACTTCAAAACTTGTCCAATATGTCAACAGTTTTAAGAATTTCCATTCATAAAAATCTTACTTTATTTTTACTATGAAAAATATTTTTTTTTGCGTTGTTATTGTAAATATTGTAACAATTCTGCTTTTTTTTGACAATTCAACTACTTCGATTTTAATCCTATTTTGTTTTAGCTTACAATGAACGAAACGTTTTGTGTAGTTTCTGTATTCAAACAATCTAATGGGAAAAACAGTTTTGTGAATTCTGGTTTAGATATTTAAACACTTGCATTGTGTCTGCATCTCAGTTGTACTTATCTATCTTTTAAGTCTTCAAAACAAATGTATGGACTTATTAACGATGTAACATGAAGGAATGATAGAGTTTCAGTTGGATAATGTATATTATCAATGGATTCTACGTACATTTACAAGGTCTGACAATGTTTTTTTGGTTATGTTTATATTTGTGGTTGATGGTTACAACACTCTGACTTTTATATCCATACCTGAGAATTGTTTATTCATGGTTGTTGGGTGAAAATTGTAACTTGGCATAGTATTAGTTGTGAATCACATAGCATTTTAAATAAGAACACAGGGCTTCATTCAATAAAAATCATTGGATCCCCCATTTTTGTCCACACATTAAGCGACAGGGTAGCTAAAAAAAACTGAAGAATATGCTACTTTTGAGAATAATTTATGATACTGATAAGAAAAATTTATTCATCATTTGAACTTCTGTTTGTGTGTGATTGTTCCCAAAAGTTTCGGCAATCTAGGAGGCTTCGGAAAAAATATGTTCCAAATGACCTTGGACTGGTTTATAGGTCACCCTATATTATTTGTATTACTATAGCATCCGTTGCTCCCTTCGCCCAGAGTTATTATGAAATCCCTCAATCCTGACGGATTTATATTGGTTTGCTGGTTTTATTATTTGCTTTAAGTCTATATTTGATTGCAATTGTTGTTTTCTTCATTTGTAAATACTTTAAATTCTAATCAAAAATGGTATTATTCTCCTCAACGTAGTAATATTATCGATTTTAAGGTTAGAAGCTTTGTAAGATATGGCGCGACTTCGTTTAACAGTAGATAGGGGCTATCACTGCAGAAGCATAAGTGTTCATACTTACAGGAACATAATTATTACAGGAGCATAATTCTTGTTCTAAGAATATAGCCGGATATATATAATATTGCCGGATAATCCTTATAAAATATTTTGCCATTAAAATATAACGTTCGACGACGTGGCGCGTCGTGCTAAGCCAGTTGTTCTCAACTCTCTCTCTCGTGGCCCATTTTCGTTGGGGAAAAATTCTGTGGCCCATTGACTTGTTCATGCAAGAGATAAACTACAAGAAAAGCAAAACTATTTACGCAAAAATAGGAACTTTCACTTTAATGATTAGAATGAAATTTACCCCTCTGTATCAAAAAATTATCATCATTCATTGGTACTACAATCAAAAGTTAACTTCAGTGACGCAGATGAAACTGAATTATTAATAACACCAGCCATTTTTAATAGGTTTGTGGCCCACCTGAAAGTGTTGCTGTTGGACATGGCCCACTGGTGAGAGAGCCGGTGTGCTAAACATAGAAAATACGCTTACTATCGCACCTCTGGCGGTGAGCATTTGCAAGATGACTTCTGGCTGCAGTGAGGTTTCACGTAACCGTTGGTCGGTTATGGCTTCGTCCACCATCAAGTCCGTGGATCTAAAACAAATAAAAGGTCATCTATTCACATGCCCGGCATGAACTGGTAAGTGTGCGGAGGGCCGTGGCTCGCCGTATGATTAGGTCGTTTATCCCTTTCCCGCGATAAATATAAAAATCATATCCCAGTGATATCAGGTGAAGATTTATCCGATATTGAACAGGATGTGGAATGAATTTTAAGTATATACATAAAAGATGGGCAACAGCTTCGTGCATATGTGATTAGCGATTCTCACTAGTTTTAAAAGTTTTCCATGTCGACCAGCATTTTAATTGGAGATGCGGTTTGGGAAAAGAATGTCTATCTGTTTTTCACTGATTTTTTTCTCATTCAATAATCAGAGTAGCCAGGGTACGATAATTGGCATGGGAGCTCTTAGCTTAGTATGTTCACTTTGTTAATTGCTCGGCATTCTGCTAACCGTTAGCGACATGATTCTTATTACTTGATAGTACGCGTGACCGCTGGTCGATTTCAGCTGAAACGATAAACTGACTATTTTCACACGGATTAATAGGACAAGAGGCTGCGGAAATTTCCATTAACTAGCCATTATTTTCCGTCCTAAGAGTCCGAACAAAGGCGTCTATATGCTTTTCAATAGACCCGTCCTATCCAGCATGGGATAAGAATGATACAGGTAGCTATTGTTTCAATAAAATTAATTGATATCATCTACGATTTTTCTGTTACCAGCGTTAACAAAGCTCAGTAGCTCTTTTCCCATACTTAAGAAATTCCTGTAAGTGTAGTGTTCCCATATATCGAGTGAACTGTTTTGCTTGGCTTATACAAGCAAAATAATTGCATATCAATTCCAAAAAAGGTCCATTGACTTTCGTACATATTTCGTGCTTCTGGTATGAGAGTGTCACTGTGGTAGCCGCACCTGCAGAAATCGAAATGTTGTAATGACGTTTAGAGGGCGTCCGGGAGCTATCGGATTGACTTTGATTTAAATGGTCCAAACCCACGAACTAAGAAGTGATTTTTCGTTTCCACCGAAAGCTTTGTTATTGCTAAGCGTTAGAAATACGCTTCCCATCGCACCTCTGATCACCCTGTGTGGATTCGCATATTTCAATCACGTCAGGGGAAATTATATGCGGGATGATTGATTACTGGACTCCAGCTATCATAGGATGATTCATGTAACCAATGACCGGTCCTCCTGTACCATCAAGTCTATGCATCTGAAACAAATACCTCGATTTGGACTGGTTCTCGGACAAGAAGCGGGGGTACGCCATATAATTAAACTGTCCTATCGACTTTACTCTCCACCTCGTTAATATGAAAATACTATCCTACGTGCAATTTCATATTTTCAGCTTGACTTGTTTGTGGCGTAAAAGTTTAAAGTAAATTAGATTTATTGACTCCAAGGCTTCACAATTATTATTCAACGTAGGCTTGACGAGGGGAGTCATTAATAAATCGGAACGATCCCATGACATGATTCGCTTTAAACGGGCAATTTATTTTCTTTTCATTTCTATTCTAGCAAATAATTAACGCTTTTTTACGCACTAAAGCCTTATGCAAACTCTCCCTAGCACACCCTGATCCGGAAATAGTCTACGAGTGTTCTAAAAATACTATTTACCATAAAAGCAGTGACGTTAATCCCAGTTAGCTGAGTAAACGTTTTGTATTTGATTAATTCGTAAGTATGTAGGTAGCGTTTTGCCTGCATTTCGCAGTACTCGTAGAACGTTATATAAATATGAGTGATATAAATTGAATTCAAATAATCCATTCTTAGTTACTCATTGCTTATTTGGTAATGGAATCAGAGAATCTGATGCTAATGACCTAAATGACGTATTCGAAGGGTAATATTGTTTGAACCCTGCTTGCACCTTGTTTGTAGATTACGTAAATCAAAATACATGGCTATAGATAGAATTAAAATGAAACCTATAATACAATTTGATGCTTATCTTAAACCATTGCCCTCATTTTAATAACAGTAAAGGGGTCGGCAACCTTTTGTCGCTCGCGGGCCAAAATGAAACGTCATCGGCGGGCCGCATATATTTTTAGAAAAATAAAAACCGAACGGATGGCCGATGAATCAAAATTTTCACAGATCAGAAGTTAAATGTTAAGCAGCGCGCGAAGACTGACCATTCGAATATTTTCTGCGCCATTGAATCATTTGCACTTAGCATCAACTTTTCTGCGTTTTGTTGCCATTTGTCTAATTATAATTAAATTATAGGCTCATTAAGCGAGTAATTCTGAATTATATACTTGTTAGGTTATAATATAATTTAGTCTACACGTGTCTCAAAATAAATTCTGTTACGTATAGAATATAATCGTCAAAACAGCTAGTTTTGTTATTTTTGTTACTATAATTCAGTGAAGCTTCCGTAGGTTTGCCGACCCTGCAGTAAGCAATGCTCAAATATATGACATGAGGTCAAATGTCACATAAAAGACATATTTGAATTTTAATAGATATTGAAATTTATTTTTATCGTCTGCCATATATTTTATTCTGTTTTTCTGTCTTTTTTTCTGTGAAGCTAGAAGAGGCTGTTCTCATGACCTCAATATTTAACAGCTCTTACTTGTACGAGCATGTTTTTCCACGGATAAATCATGTCAAATCCCGCGTGAGATCAATAATTTCCGACAGTAATATGAAAAATTCGCTTCCCATCGCTACATCGTCCCTCGCACCGAATATTGATAAACTTGTTGGATAAAGGCAGTGGCATACTTCACATTGAAATATCTGAATGTGTTAAAAACTTTTGACTTTACTATATCTTCATATTTTCATTGTTCTTATAATTTTGGTGTGAGGGATTTGTTTGTTTTTTCATTTTTCGAAACTACCAAATCATGTCAAGCAACTAAAAATGGTAAACTGTCAATACATAAAAAGAAGTGGAAAACTATATTATAATCTCGTTTATTTAAAGTGCAATTGTATTTGTGATATTGAGTATATATAAATGTGAAGTTCTCATTAAAATAAAATCTACCCTTTCGAGTAGCCCGCGCGATCATTCGTTAACTACCTGTGGCCCTTCGGACATAAAAGATGGACAACCCTGCCTACATTCAAAACTAGTACGGTTTTGCTCCAAAAACCGCTGCGTCTTTTAGTCCGATGCGCATAATGTATGAATAAAGCTCCATCTAAGCAATTTATTTAAAGCGCACCTTATGGTCTGTAAAATAAGGTAAATTAAGATATTGGCCATAATTGAATTGGCTTTAAATTTCTGCGACTTGGTAATGTACTGACATTTCGTGTGATACTTTATAGTTTATACAATTGAATTGGATGAATTTCTAATCATATTATAATACTTTCTTTCTTAATTAAAATGTAAATTAAAGTGTGGTTGTCGAAATTTGAATACAGGATTTCCGTAAAGCCATAGCAACTTAAAGTAGACATACTGATGGACTTGATAAACTATTCTAGGCCTTGAAATGGGTACTCCCGTTGTGTGTGTACCAGGTTAGGGTTAGGCCATAACTTTATTCCGATTTTCTTTATTTTAGTTCTATTTCGAGTTCGGGGACTGTCTGTGTTAGCCAAGTGAATATACCTTCTGCTCATAGGTTACAGTCCCTTTACACAACTTGATGTAAAGTAGGCGAACAAAATTAGTTACCACCATATTGGTACACACACTTCTGGAGCGCCATGAAATGTAATAAAAACTCCCACAATCTAAGAATAGGCATTAATTATAAATACGCTCCACAGAGCAACAATATTTTGTGAAATTTTGTAAATAGTAAAATAATTTTACCATCACGCTCTGATGATTAGATTATGTCAATTTAATATCATCAACCATCCAAGCGTTACATCTACGTGGTCATCGTTGCGTAGAAAATATAACATTAAAAATTCGAGATAACTACCCTAGGAGTTGGCATCAACTATTCCTGGATCCAGTCTCGATAAAGATGAGGACATTAACATTACAATTGTGTAATATAAAATTAATTTGTGTATACATTTTACCACCTTTTAACTAAGGACAAAATCACGATTAAAGTAACTTTGTTCACAAGCTTCGTAAATATAGTATAAAACTAAATGATTAAAAAAACTGAAAGAATAAAATGAATGATTATAATTTATAATGATTAAATTTAATAATTAACATCCAGAATTAGCGCGAGCCTCGCGTGCGTGACTCACTACGGTCGCACAGGTTGCAATCACCCAATAAGCCATGTGTATCAGCCAGGACCAACGATGGAGCATTTCGCCGGAAGGGAATGTCGTTCCATCATGATGACGTCAGGTGGTTTCAGAGTGCA